GCGTCATTCAAAAATAAGCACCTCTTCTCGCTTCGCCTTAGCAAGAAGGGCCGTCTGGTGAGACATCTCACTTCATGTTACTCTGAGAACTGGGGTTACGTAAGTAACCTATAGTTCTCATTCATAACACTCCGTTCGATGTCTCACTATGGGATATTTAAACTCCCGTATTGCTAGACATGTTTATCTCGAAAATCACCAAAACAACCAGAACTTAACAGGTAGAACCGTGTCTCAACACGGGGCCCAGCACTGCGCGGGCCACACTTGGAGCAGAGACATCTAGCCTGTAAAAGTGGACACAAGTGAGCGGTGAGGACCAGCTCGCTGCTGCACAAATGTCTTGGATGGAAACACCCTTGAACAAAGCCCAGGATGTAGCCAGTCCACGAGTAGAATGAGCACGCAGGCCCATTGGTGCCTGCAAACCCTGACTCGTATAAGCCAGAGCAATCGCTTCCACAATCCAGTGGGAGAGCCGTTGCCTGGTAACGGGCTTGCCCTTATGAGGGTTAGCCCAGGATACAAAGAGTTGGTCATTGCATCGAAACTCTTTTGACCTGTCCATATAGGTGTGTAAAGCACGGACTGGGCACAGCTAATTCGGCCGCTATTCCTCAGAGGAACACAGTGGCGTAGGAAATGCCTCAATGTCAATGGGGGTACATGAGCCAACCACCTTTGGTGCAAAGGCAGGGTTGGGCTTCAGCAACACTCTCGTTTGTCCCGGGGCAAACTGAGTGCATGAAGGATGTACAGAGAGCGCATGAATGTCACTGACTCGCTTGGCAGATGCCAGTTTGTGCCAGTAACAACACTGTCTTCAGTGACAGGTGTTTCATGTCAGCTTCTTCCAGGGGTTCAAATGGAGGTCGAGTGAGCCCATCTAAAACCACTGCCAAGTCCCATAAGGGCACCAGTGACCTGGAAACAGGGAGGAGCCTGCGAGCCCCTTTCATAAAACGGCAGACCAAGGGATGTTGGCTAGCCGTCTTTCCCTCAAAGCCCACATGGCATGCAGCAATAGCAGCCAGGTACACTTTGATCGTAGAGAAAGCTCTGTGTTTATCAATCAGGTCCTGTAGAAAGGATAGAATCACCCCGACAGGACATTGAAAAGAGTCCCACTGTATTCAGGTTATACCACTCACGGGCCAGGCCCATAGTGCCAAGCGCTCTGGGTGTGGGTGAAAAATCATCCCCCCGCCTGAGACAGTATGTCCCTGCGTAGCGGGAGCTGCCACGGCTGCCCGCACAGCAGCTGATATATCTCCGCCAGCCAGTACATTGCAGGCCAGTGTGGAGCTATTAGGATCAGTGTGTGGCGTTGTTCTCTCACTCTGGCCAGAGTTGGGGGTATCAGAGCCAGGGGTGGGAACGCGTACAGAAGGACCGGAGGCAAAACGTGCGCGAGCGTGTCCACGCCTAACGGTGCGTTTAAATCGTGCATTGAAAAGAACAGCTGACATTGAGCGTTTTCTTTTGATGCGAACAGATCCACCGCGGCCCGGCCGTAACGCACCCACAGCTGACTCAAAATTATTGGATGTAGAGTCCAGTCTGCATATAGTGGTGCACCTCTGGACAGCAGATCTGCCCCGAGGTTCATCACTCCAGGTACGTGCGTCGCTCTCAGAGAGAGGAGACGTCCGCAGCTCCATAAGATCAGTTTGCGTGCCAGCATGTGTAACTGGAGAGAACGCAAACCCCCTTGGCGGTTTATATACGATATTGTGGTCGTGTTGTCTGTCCTCACGAGGACATGATGTCCTCTGAGAAAAGGCAGAAAGCGTTTCAGGGTGAGGAACACCGCTAAAAGCTCCAGATAATTTATGTGTGACCGTTGGAGGTCTCTGCTCCAGAGGTCTCTGCTCCAGAGACCCCCTCACAGGTCGACCTTCGTATATACCCCCCCGAAAGAAAAAACGGCGGGGCAGATTACAATATTAACTAGTGTGTTAATATTTGTTCAATTATTCTGCAAAGCAAAAAAGTAACCGGCAAGCGCCCGTCGACCGAATGTTAGCTTGGGTTCAGTCTGTGGACCGTTAAGCTAGCCCGGCTACTGATATTCGAGATGTGCTCTGAAGCGAGAAGAGGTGTTTGAATGACGCTGCGACGTAGAGCAAGCTACTTAAAGGGTGGGAGGATTCCCTGACGTAGACGTCAAGATCACCAGCCAATCAGGATTGGCGTAATGAGATTGATGCTTCTGTTTGCATACGCGTTGAGGCGCATCCCATAGTGAGACATCGAACGGAGTGTTATGAATGAGAACTGGTAGGTTTTCGCCTGTTTGGGGAGTTTATATCCAGTGTACTTCGTTTGAATGGACAGCTAGCAGGCATAGACAGTATTTAGCCATTATGGAATATTGCGCAAAATAGCACCATAGGCATTAATGTCATAAATGTTCATCATATAAAGTGTGACATGTAAAACCTTTTATGCAATTGACAGGAGAGATTCATGTGATTGGTTGTTGGTCGCGTTGCTCGCGTAAACTCCCCAAGCTCAAGACACGCCCACCGCCAAGCGGCAACGCATGCCGCCGTGTGTAAGGGTCGTTACTCCAACCCAATCTCAACCAAATGCAAATGCCTCCTTAACCTGTTAAGCCCTGAGCCTGTTTTTCAGGCCTCAGGCTCGAAAATGACATGCCCAGAACAAATTACTATATCTTCACTTCTAAAAGGGGTAAATTAATAATCTTTTTTCTCAAAGTAATGATAAACCTGTGAGTTGGATTTAGAACAGTCAGAATCAATATAGATGTTTTTATTTTAAAGTAAATTCAGATTGAACATAGTAAAACAAAAAATTATAGTTTCCGTCTAAAGAAAAATCCATTACTTATAGTGAAAACCACCCTTGAATGATGGGATAGTAGACAAAAAGATTAAGGAATCCAAACTATAACATATAATAAGTACCCTGTATCAAGATTGATGCAAAACCTTTTTGACCTTTTTAGAGAGATTTAGGGGGGAAAAAACCACCTCTGGGACCAATTGGGTGGATTTGCCATATCTCTGGAACCCATGGGTCGATTTTGATGATTGACATCTCTTTTTAACTGATATAGCCAATAGAATCGAGGGGGGGTTCCTATATCCATCTAAACATTACCATTGGTGAATGAGAGTGATGCGCAGCCAGCATGCCCAAAACCGGAAGCTGGGTTACAGCTCTCATACACTATATGAAAACTCTGTTTATTGACATAAATATAATGATGGATTATCAGTAATCATTTCAAAGTGACACAGAGACATTGGATTAACCTTCAGCCACGTTTGTATGCGTTGTAATGCCCTTGAACACAACTTTTGATCAGAAAACAGCAACGGTAAGACGTATTTGCCTTTTTGGCCCCGTAAAGTGAAGTTGTGTGTTGTCTTTGCTTGCCTTTTTGGTTGAACAGTGATGATATTTATACCATTGGAATCTGTGGAATCTCAGCTTTCATATGATATATAGTTTGTGCAGATCCGATAAAAAATAAAATATTCTACCGTGAGTTATGTGTTAAGTGCGTTAGCACTCTTTCGCTTAGTGCTAATTCAGAGGCTTGGCGTTAGACTTGTGTTTTGTTTCGGTAAAAACTGTTCATATCGTCAGGTAGCTGAGTTTCTTCCCATTAACACAATGCTCCCAATGGCAACGAGGTAAGCTATTTGGTTTATATCTGTAGGTAAAAAAGAGAAGCCATGACTTTCCCTACACTAAAATGCATGTTATAAAAGTACTAAATGCATATGGCATTGTTGCAATACAAGTCGCTAAAGGGATTAAATGAAAAACTGAATCAGTGTAAAAAGTCGTAACTTACTTAAAGTGGACCTATCATGCTATATTTGAATAATATATTGTAGGGCCAACCTATACAAAACATGTCTGTGAAGTTTTTTTTTTACAAATACCAAACAGATCATGCATTTTAGCCATGCCTCATTTCGCTCTATTTGCTCTATTCCAGCCCTGTTTTTGCAGGGGTTGATTCTGTGGCAAATGAGCTGCAGCTGACCACGCCCCCCTGCAAAGGAGGGGGGCGTGGCACGAGCGTCATGTTACCATGCTGTTACCATGCTGTTACCATGCTGTTTATCATGCTGTTACCATGCCATGGCAACCTCTCATTCCCCTGATAGGTGGAGAGTTGCCCATATAGGCGGAGCTCCCCCGTTTCTGACGTCAGAACAATTTCAAATCTGTATCAGTCTGTATCAGATTCGTTCCAGCCCCGTTTTAGAGATTTGGGTATGGAGGAAAAGAGAGAGGGTTGTGTTTTCTGACACTTGGTGAGTTCCCTGACACACCGGGGACACATATTCATGTATAAAAGACGTACAAATGTGCATTTTGCATGATAGGTCTCCTTTAAGTATGTCATTTAGAAAAAAAATACTTAAGTGTCTATGCTAGAGTAGTAACTATATTATGTTGACCATGTTTACCATCTTAGTATAGTGTGTTAGCATGCAACATTTGCTCATTAGCATCAGACAAAGTATAACCAAGGCTTATGTTATTCTGAATTGAGAAATGTACATTTTGATCTGATGTTGGTGCTGTATAAACAAATAAATTGTTAACATGTTTATCGCAATCTATTTAACAGTTGTTGAGAATGTTTAACGACAAATGTTTACCTTGTGTTGTTTCGCCAGACAATAAACTCCAGTTCACGAAAGAATAATTAATCCTCTTGGGTAATAAATGTCGTATTTGCACATTTTATGGCAATCCAATAGTTGATCCAACGCAACAACTACCTACATGTGGTTATCTCACACGTTTTATATTTAGCAGAGTATTTATCTGCAAATTTACAAATCAAAATATGATGATTGTGATTGGATTATTTCACATAATGTTGAAGCCAATTCATGGAACCACTTGCGAAACAGAGAGTATTGGTAAATAAAGTAATTATATTTTATATATTATAAAATTATGAACTAAAAAGGAGAACAATTAGATTAGAAATTGTTTCCTACCCATCATGTAGATTTTGTTTCCTCTTACGAAGGGCGTGGCTCCGTACCGCGGCGTGGGCATGGAAGTCATGGGCTGCCATTGGTCCTTCTCCGCCTCATAGACCCTCACCAGAGCCTGTGGCGTTGTGTCGGCTCCCATTCCTCCCAACGCGTACACCTTTCCATCTGCACAGACACAAGCCAGAGAGAAAAATTAACACTTTAAGGAGCTTATTATAATAAACTGTCTTGGTGCAACCATGCAGTCAATAGACATTTGCTCTCTCGCAGGTTAATGTGGGGTGAATTAAGGAATAACACCTCTTCAAACACCCAGAGAAAGTCATGCATCGCAGCCTTTCTGGTATAGCTGTCAAGTCTGCTATCTGTCTCATCAGTTCACATCCAAACAACCTGAAATATTTATGCCCAGGGCTGAGAAACCTTGAGATAACCCTTGAATAACTTACCACAAGGACACAGCGAACATCCACAACTACTGCAGTGTCATTAGAACATAGAGAGAAGCAAAAGAAAGGGAGATGAGGAAGTGCTGAGTAAGTAAACACAGTGTTCCAGCTGGGAGGGTTGGAAGGACAGTGAGGAAAGAGGAGAAGATACAGGACGTGAGGAGAGGAGGAATCAAGAGGAGAGGAGAGGGGAGGGAGAGGGGGAGCTTCTCAGTCCTCCAGACAAATGACACATCCCCAAAGCTGTGACTTAAACTGTGAAGAATAAAGCAATAATAAATGTGTCACTCGGATTGCAGCTCAACACAAGTGTTATAGTTAGCAGCTCAGTGCAATTCTGCTGTTGTATATAAAATAAATGACAAAGCTCATCTCATCTCAAAAATCCATGTCGCAATGCATCATGTGCGGAGGCAGGGCCAGGAAATAATGGAAGGAATTTGCATAAAGTCCTTGGCTTGTGAGACCAAATACGAATCACCAGGGATCTAGTGCTGATTCCAAAGAGCCACACTTAGCACAATGTACATGTCTGGTGCTGTAATGAGATATGAATTGAGGTAGCTTTTCACTCAACATCAGTGCTTGAATTGGAATGAAAAAGGTGCCAGTACTCTAAAATCAGCAACTTTTTCAAGTCAATTTTATATATACAGCCCACAAACAAGAATTTGGCTACTATCATGCTGGTGGGTTTGTCTCTTTACTACTGTATATTTTAGAAAGGTTCACTGTACTTAACATTTTTTATGATAGGCAGCGGATATGGCTAAAGCTCAGTAAGGTCAATATTAACTGAAAATATAGCAATCAAAGTCTAGATCTTCTGCTGAAGACACATGAAGCAGAGACCTTTCAGGTGAGAGCCCCTCTGGTGGTGTTCAACATTAATGACAAGGAAACAAAGCTCTGGTCAGAAGCATTTTTTATAAAAAGCTTTAACAAAATTAAGTATTTGTGTACATTTTGAATGCAATCTAACTTTCCAACTCAGAAAACGAAAAAGTGCCAAAAGTCTTCTCACATGGCTGAGCTGCTTTGCAATATACTTCACCACTGAAGAATACAAATATGTATAAAGTAAACTATGATGCAATCTAACTTTCCAACTCAGAAAAATTATAAAGAGCATGAACAAAGAACATGTAAAAACAAATGCAAAATTTGCACAATCTAAAATGAGAAACTGTAACTGCAAGTAACAAAGTCTGAGCCATGGTAAAGAGTTACATTGAACACCAAGCTGATCAGATAACTCCCTGGTTGGTCTGAAGTCCTTCTATCTCCAGGATCTGTACAAATTGGCACATTATGCCAAAAGTCTTCTCACTGGGTGAGCTGCTTTGCAATATACTTCACATTGTTAGAAAAGGCTCCAGAAGGCCTTGGGGACATCAGTATCAGGGGCTGGAGCTGGACAGGCTCTTTCATCAGCACTTCTCCTTCCCTTTGCCAGCCAGGACCTCACATACTGTTCCGGATTGAACTGTCCTAGTGATGGTCCATTACATTTAATGAAAACCAGGCTGGACAGTCGGCTGACAGAGAGAGCATTCCTTTTTGCAGTAAGGATATCGTTCATGCAGCTGAATGCCCGCTCACACTCACTAGTGGAGACAGCGATGGTTCGGACTGCTTTCAGTAGAGGCTCCATGGCAGCAGGTGTACGGGATGCCCTGGTTTCCTTGTATTCGCGAAAGCCCTGAACAGTCTCTCTTCTGTCCACTTTCAGCACTTCGCACAAACGTAGCACCTCTACGTCCCCATACTGTACGTCTAACTCCTCTTCAGGCCAACTTCCAGGATGGATAACTTTCATGTCCTGGATTAGCTGATTGTCCCGGGCCTCCCGGCCATGTAATGGGATTTCTCTTGTGCTGACATGAGAGAAGGTTGTGGAAGTCATTCTGTGTCTCAGATTCTCTACCATACTGCGGAAAAACTGACCTGCATGAATCTGTACAAGCCTGCCATTCTCACGCAGGGCAACACCCTTGAAGGACTTCTCAGCTAGAGCTGTATGAACTGTAGTCATGTGTGGGCCAGGCATGGTGACCATGGATTCAAAAACTCGTATTTCTCGAGTTAAGAGCCTATCTGCTGTAGGCAGTGTCATCTCTCTTTTTTGGAGTTGCCGAGAGAGGTCGCTGAGCTCTGTGAGCGCATCGTACATCAGTCCCAGATTGCTGACAAACGTTGCAGATGTGAGCACATCATCCAGGCCCTTGTACTTTGCTCTGTCTCTGGAATCCCTGCTCGTGTCGTTTGCAGCATTTGTGAAGTGATCATGAAGCACTCGGTAGTTTTCCCAGACTGCTCTGACGCTCCTTTCACTTGAAGCCACCCAGCAAAAAACACGCCCTATCACCAGGAGACGCTGTCCGACTGCTTGCGCACACTGCGCTAACTGCCTCTGATTTTTGGGGGAGGCATGGAACAAGGAATAGAGTTTGTCAAAAAAGATCTGGAAATGATTGAGCCCTGAGACCTCCTTGACCACATCCCCAACTGCCAGCTCTAGACGATGATTGGAGCAGTGCCACACAAACAGGCTTGGGAATTTACTACACAACTGGGTAGCAACGCCTGTTCTCTTCCCTAGCATGACTGAAGCCCCATCACATGCAAAAGAAACGAAACACTGACCTAAAAAGTCCTGTTAAAATCTCTTCCAAGACACTCCATTAACGCCTTTGTGATGTCATCAGCCGTTGTTCCATCCAACTCGATCAGCTCCCAAAACAACGTTTCGGGCTCAGCATCAGCTAATGCTGAGCGTAGACACACAACAAGCACCGTTTTACCACTAATAGTGGTAGATTCATCGACCAAAACACAGAGTTTTCTTTGGTTTTCTGTAATGTCTTTTGCCATTTTTTTCTTCAGCTCATGAGCTATGTGGTCGATGATTTCGCCACAGGTTTTATTGGAGTGCAAAACCCTGCCCACGTTCAGCCCATTCAGTTTCTGAACATTCAAATCAATTGGCATGTCTGTGAATGGCCGGCTATGTTTGCCAATTGTATATGCCGTTCGAAAAACTCTGATAGTGGTGTCTAATTCAGATGTATGCATAGACTGCACTTGATGTTGAATAGTTTCACGTGAAGCAGATGTAAGGATGTCAGCAGCTTTTACATGGGCTTGTGATTCTTTATGTTCTTTGATTTTTTTTTCTCAGGCTAGCTTGTTGTTTGCCCTTGTCAACACCGAAATGAGACACTGCACACTCACCCCATTCAGTTGACAGTTTCAGTCCTTGTCCAGTGTGTATTCCCAAAGATTTGACATCTCTGCATATCCGACATCCTAGCTTCTTATCTTTAAGAAGGAGCCATGCATTGGTCTTGCAAAAATATTGCACCTGGTCCGTTGTCCAGCAGTCAGGTGCATCGCTTTGCCCGGTGTTGGTGGTGGCAGTTGCGCCAGCAGCAGCTAACTTTAGAGGCTCTGGAGGAGGCGGCGGAGCTAGTGCTAATGCTAATGCACTAGAACTTGGAGCAGGAGGATCAACCAAAGAAAGCTCCCCATCAGACACAATTTCCAACACAGGCACAGCATTCTCTGTATTTGAAGTTTCTTCCGGCGACAACCGCTGTCTTTTGTGCACTTTTATTAATCCACGCTAACATTTTAGAAATGCTAATTTGTGACGTGACTTGCTTTCCTTCTCTCCGGGGCGTGCCTGCTCTGTTCTATCACTCTACATAGCCACCCACTGGGTGGGAGTTGCACTGCATAAACACAACACACGTGCATCTAGGTATGTAAATTGTAAAGCATTAAAACATGGTTTTACTAACAGTTTTCAGTATGTTGTTACTTCGGCATTATTATTATTATTATTTTGAAACGTGTATTACTATTAAATCACGGTCAAATAGGTTAATTTTGACATAGTCGTTTCCACCACAGTATTTACATGGAGAAGATAAGCCCCGCCCCCTCTCCAGCACGTTCTGTTTGAATGACAGGAGTAAACAGCTGACAGCCGCTGTGAAACTCCAGCCGTTAGAGCGATGAGAATGTCCGTTCGGCACCTCATGACGCATCTACTGAGTACCGGGCGGATGTATATATATATATGGACAGTGCTGGAATTGGGCCGGTACTCACCGGTACGCAGTACCGGCACTTCTGGTTCTGACCCATGGAGTACCGGCACTTCTTGCTCAGTACCGGCATGCTGGCGGTACTCCGGTACTCATGCACCGTGCCAGTACTCAACACTCTCCCGCCGTTCTTATTATACATCCATATATATAAAAAAAATCAAAGAACATAAAGAATCACAAGCCCATGTAAAAGCTGCTGACATCCTTACATCTGCTTCACGTGAAACTATTCAACATCAAGTGCAGTCTATGCATACATCTGAATTAGACACCACTATCAGAGTTTTTCGAACGGCATATAAAATTGGCAAACATAGCCGGCCATTCACAGACATGCCAATTGATTTGAATGTTCAGAAACTGAATGGGCTGAACGTGGGCAGGGTTTTGCACTCCAATAAAACCTGTGGCGAAATCATCGACCACATAGCTCATGAGCTGAAGAAAAACAATGGCAAAAGACATTACAGAAAACCAAAGAAAACTCTGTGTTTTGGTCGATGAATCTACCACTATTAGTGGTAAAACGGTGCTTGTTGTGTGTCTACGCTCAGCATTAGCTGATGCTGAGCCCGAAACGTTGTTTTGGGAGCTGATCGAG